CCTACTTCCAGCAGCATGGCTGCACCTTCACCGCTGTCATCCCCACCAACGTCTTTGGGCCCCATGACAACTTCAACATCGAGGACGGCCATGTGCTGCCAGGCCTCATCCACAAGGTGCACCTGGCCAAGAGTGAGTGCCCACCGCCCAGCACCCTCAGCCAGGTCACCCGCCCGATGGGGTCACTGGGGCTTAGCTGGGAGGAGGGCGTGGTGGCTGGCACAGCCCCCTCTGATGCCAGCCCCCTCCCTGAATCTGCAGGCAGCGGCTCTGCCCTGACGGTGTGGGGTACGGGGAAGCCGCGAAGGCAGTTCATCTACTCACTGGTTCGTGCAGGAGGGTGCAGTGCTGTTCCCCAGAGCGTCTCCCTGGGTCTGCCCTGCTGGCTGTGAAGAAGCATGAGGGAGCCTGGGAGGGGGTGAGGGTCCAGGCTAAGCCCCCGGAGGAGCAGTCACTGGTGTTTGCTAAGTCCCTGTAGGCTCCTGGCCCCACAGGAGTCTCTGGGTGCAGCTCTGAGCTCAGCAGGAGAAAGGACCCGGTCCGTTGGGGCTCAGCTGGCCATGGACTGGCCAAAGGGAGGGGCCCCCGGCCCCAGTTGGGCCTGGGCTGTGCCCCTACTGAGCTGGGGCACTTGGGAGAGGAGACTTGTGGCCCCATGTGGCTGTAACTTGTGGCCTTTGACCCTGCCTGTCTGACGTCTAGGACCTGGCCCAGCTGTTTATCTGGGTCCTTCGGGAGTACAATGAAGTGGAACCCATCATCCTCTCAGGTGGGCACCCTGTGGCCCCAACTCCCACCACAGCAGGGCAGGACCCATGTCTGTCCTGAGAGTGGCTGAGGGCGGGAGCAGGAACATCTGTCAGGCTAGGCGGCACGTGGCCAGGTGGAGGAGGCCTGACCTGGCCATTGGCCCCTCGTTCCCCACAGTGGGTGAGGAGGATGAGGTCTCCATCCAGGAGGCAGCCGAGGCTGTGGTGGAGGCCATGGACTTCCACGGGGAGGTCACCGTATCCTTGGGCTGCAGGTGAGGGAACTGTGGGCCTTCCTGCACAGAGACCACGGGTCTGATGCACCCGATGGCACTCACCCTGGCAGCTGGAGGGGATCTGCTGCTTTCTTCCCGAGGCTCCCCCTGGGAAAGGCAGAGGAGGTTCAAGGGCAGGCTGGGGGAGGGGCTGCCTTTTCTGCTGTGGCCTTGACCAGGCACCCAGTTTGATACAAGCAAGTCAGACGGGCAGTTTAAGAAGACAGCCAGTAACGGCAAGCTGCGGGCCTACCTGCCTGACTTCCGGTTCACGCCCTTCAAGCAGGGTGAGCCCCCTGCCCCTCCCAGGGTCCCCCACCCCCATCCCTCAGGACCTCCTGGCCCCTCCTTAGCTTTGGGCCACCACTGCCCCTCCCTAGGCCTCAAGCTTCCCTACTGCCTGCTGGGGATGGATGCCCTGCAAGTTTGCTTTCCACACCCTCATCAGGGAGGCAAAACATGGGGTGACTGTCCTGTGTCCCTGGGGCCCCCACCCTCCCCACCTCCTGTGGATGTCAGTGCAGCCCTGGCCTTCACCTGCCACTCCCCCTCCCCTGCCCGCCTCTGCAGCTGTGAAGGAGACCTGCACCTGGTTCACAGACAACTACGAGCAGGCCCGGAAATGAAGTGCGGTGGTGGGAGCAGCGCCGGCTGCCCCCCGAGGCCCCAGGGGCCCCTCAGCTGGCAAAGCCCAGTAGCAACTACCCTCAGACCCTGCCAGAGTCGAGGGCACTGCCCAGCAACCTGGGCTCACGTTCCACCCCTTCTGCCAGGGTGGCTCCGGGCGGCTGCCCAGCAGGACCACCAGTCATGTCCATCCTCAGGGAAACCAAGGCCTGGCCAGGCGGGGCACCTCGCTCCCCAATGCTGGTCCTTGGGTCCTGAGTGTGTCCCCTTCTGATCCTGCTGTCCTGCTCCCTGGGAGCCAATAAAGTGCATTTTCACAGGCCTGGCCCCAGCAGCTCTGCGCCAGTTGACCCCCACATGGAGGCACTGCTTCCCTGAGCCTGGCCAGCCCAGGGCCCACCGGTCCTTGCTGACTGCTCAGCCCCCAAGAGCTGCTGGGACAGAATGGTTAACTGTTCCTGGAGTGGAAGGGTCATGTGCAGGTCTGAGATCCCCTGGGCTTTGCCCCTCAGCCCAGGGACTTTAGGGAAACAGGCTGGGTCTGGATTTCCCCAGGCTAAGTGGACATGTGGGTGGATCCAAGGGGAGGGTGGTGCTTGGCTAGCTCAGGCTCCCCTGGGACCCCAGGAGAGAGCTGGGTCAGGCTTGGCCCCTTATCTCCCTCGCCATCAGGTGGCAGCTTGGGTGATGGGCCTGGCCTTCCCTTCTTCCTTGGGGATAGTAACAGGTGCCACGCAGGAGGGTCGGCTGGGCCCACTGGCAGGGAGGTGAGCAGCATGGGCCTCCCCATTCTCAACGGGAAGACACCAAAGTCTGGACAGGTTGACTGACAGGTCCCTGGCCAGCCAGTCAGTGCTGGAGAGTGGATCCAGGAGGGCCCAGATCCAAAGCCCCCAGGCCACAGCCCACTGGACTGCCTCACCCAGGACCCAGGCACCTTCCCTGGCTGTGGGGCTCAGTCTTGGGCCGCCACTTCTCGGGTCCCCTCTCTCCTGGGTAGCCCTTTGCCGTCTTCACGTGATGACTCAGAGCTCTCTGACTTCTGACACGCCTGCCACATTCATTCCTTCATTTATTAGGGCGGTATTGGCTGTCTTCCCCGTGCCAGCCACAAGTCCCCACCTCTGTCCTGAGCCCAGCTGACCTGTACCGCATTTGTTAGCACCCCCTTTTTCTCTGGCAAGCTGCAGGGTTTATCCTCTAGCCTGCCCAGGGGCTGGCCTCGGCCCTTCTGTCAGGGCCTCCCCACCTCTTAGGTCTCAGCTGAGGTGGCCTTTCCCCTCCAAGCACACACCCTGCCATGGGCGACTGCCTATTTGTCTGGAAACACCTGGGAGGCCCCTCCCACCCAGGACTTGGAGCTCCAGGACCTGGGTTGGCCCTTCACCGGGTATCCCCTGGGCACCAGCCCTTTGTGAATGAAGGCTCTGCCCACGTGGGGCTCAGGGAGGATGTGGAGGGGGTGGTGCCTGAGCTGGAGCTTGGATCAGCAGGTGAGAACAATGGGAAGGAGGCCCAGCACAGAGCAGAGGCCTGGACACACCAGGCAGGACACAAATAGTGGTGTGTCCCGAGCCACCCTCTGGGTTGTCCTGTGTGTGTGTGTTTACTGTAGAGGTGCTCTCTCCCTAGCCAGAATGCAGGTCCTTGGGGTGGGGGTTTGGCTGTCTAGTCCCCTGCTGTGTGGCTTTCATCTCTGGCCCAGAGCAGGGCCCACACGCTGCAGGGGCAGTGTTGAATGAATGGAATTTCATTGTTGAAGAGCTTAGAACATGTCAAAGTTTAGAAGAAGAAAACAAAACATCTTTAAAATGCAGTCTTAGGGCCGGCCCCGTGGCTTAGCGGTTAAATGCGCACGCTCCGCTGCTGGCGGCCCGGGTTCGGATCCCGGGCGCGCACTGACGTGCCGCTTCTCCAGCCACGCTGAGGCCACGTCCCACGTACAGCAACTAGAAGAATGTGCAGCTATGACATACAACTATCTACTGGGGCTTTGGAGGAAAATAAATAAAAATTAAAAAAAAATTAAAATGCAGTCTTAAAAACGATAACCTCAGGTCTTCAAGCTTTATTTTTCCCATATCAAATAAAAATTGCAAGCACACCCCATGCCCACCCCCACCCTCCCCCTGTCAGTCTCTAAGATGGCCCCTGGGGGGGGCCAAGCACTCCACCTCCCCCAGGACCAACACGAGGGGCCAGGTCTCTGCTGGGGAACCAGGCCCCACGAAGGTCTCTCCTGCCTCCTCCCCGCAGCTCCCTGAGACACCCGTGGCCACCAGCATCCAGGCTGCTGGAGAAACTTCTGTAATACAGAAAAGCGACAGACCCTTGCTCACATTTCACTGGCAATGGTAATGTTATGCTGTCACCTGTACACTTGGATCTGCTATGGCTTAGGGAAGAGCTGACCACATGCCATGACCAGGCAGCCCTGTCCTCTCCACTTGAGACCACCCCCAGGCCCCAAATAGAGAACCAGGGCGCTCTGAGAACGCCGCTCCCACCCAGAGGGACCGGCCTGAGGCTGCAGCGGGATCCTACTCCGCAGCTCCTGACCTGACATGGCCACAGTCTGGACCCTGCCTGCAGGTCTTTCATCAGAAGCAGGGCAGATGCGCCCCTCTGGAAGCTCAGGTGCTCAGCGACCACCAATCAGTGGTCTCCGGACTCTGCAGCGTCCCCGCAATGGTCACCCAGCAGGTGCGCTCCGGGCACCGAACTCTGGGACGGCGTCACAGGAGCCCGCACCCCTTCTGACCCTTCACCTTTGAACGGAGCCTCTCAGGGGCTGGCCGGTTAAGTGGCGTAGCAGTTAAGTGTGCGAGTTCCGCTTTGGCAGCCCGGGGTTTGCAGGTTCGGATCCCTGGGTGACCAAAGCACCGCTTGTCAGGCCATGCTGTGGCGGCATCCCACATAAAGTAGAGGAAGATGGGCACAGATGTTAGCCCAGGGCCAGTCTTCCTCAGCAAAAAAGAGGAGGATTGGCAACAGACATTAGCTCAGGGCTAATCTTCCTCAAAAAAAAAACTGAACTGAATGGAGCCTCCCAAGCTGCGCTTTGGAAAATCAGCATCTGATTCAGGGCGCCGGGGTCCTGCACGGGCTACCATAGCCCTCAGCTAAGGACTGGTCCTTGGACGCGCCCCGCCCCCGGAGCCCGAGACCTCTCGGGCCAATGAGCAGCGAGGGGGCGGGCCACACTGCTTAGCGAGCGCTAGAGCGCAGAGCACGGGCGGGAAGGGGCGGAGCGTGCGGTCCCGGCAGCTAATCGACGAGGACAGGGCGGGGCAACGTAGCCCATTGGCGGGCCGAGGTCGCAGCCGGGGGCGGGGCGGAGCGACGGCGAGATGGCGGCTGCGACGGCGCCTGGTTCGCTGCGGGTGGGCTTCGTGGGCGCGGGGCACATGGCGGAGGCCATCGCGCAGGGCATCATCCGAGCAGGTGGGCACGGCGGGCTTGGGGTCCGTGGGGTGCCTGGGCCCGGGAGCTAGCGGGCGTCCGACACCGGCCCAGTGTGGGAGGGACGGGCTCATCTGCCCGGAAGGATGAATTCCACAGAACGCTGGGCGAGGAGCAAGGGGCCCTCCGCGCAGGGGTCCCGGCGTGGAGCAGGGCCGGGCGGGCGTCGGCCAGGCCAGGGCGGAACGCGGACCCTCCCCCCGGGCTCTGCTTCCGTCTGAGAGCACCCAGGAGGGGGTGTGCGAGCAGAGGCTTAGACCCGGCTGTCCCCACAGTAGCCACGAGCCACATGTGGACGTTGAGCACTTGAAATGTGAGTGGTCCGAATTGAGATGTGCTGTGAGTGTATAGAATGAAATATACGCCAGATTTGGAAGATTAAGCACACACACAAAGAGAAAAAGTAACATATCTTAGTAATTTTTAATATTGATCACATGTTGGAAGGATAATATTTTTGGCTGTACTGGGTTAAATAAAATATATTACAATTAACTTCACCTGTTTCTTCTCACTTGTTTAAAGTGACTAGTAGAAAATGTAAAGTTACACATATGGCTGGAGTGGTATTTCTGTTGGGCAGCACTAGCTTAGAGCCTGGGATCTCCTGGGGGCTTCCTGGCCTCATGCCTTGGCCGAGTTGCTTGACCTCTCTGAGCCTCGGATTCTTTCTTCTGTTTGTATGCCAGCTCCACTCTGGGTGGCACGCTGCCTGATTTCTCCGCCCTATGGACGTTTGAGGCTGGGTAATTCTCCATCCTTCACATCTGGCCTCTCCCCACTAGATGTCAGTAGCACCCCCCAGTTGTGACAGCCAAAAATGTCTCCAGACACTGCCACATGTCCTCTGGGGGCAGGGTGTGGGGGACTGGAATCATTCCTGGTTGAGAACCACTGGTTTACAGCAGGGAATGATAATGCTGGTCTAATATTTTTTTTTTTTTTTAAGATTTTATTTATTTATTTTTCCCCCAAAGCCCCAGTAGATAGTTGTCTGTCATAGCTGCACATCCTTCTAGTTGCTGTATGTGGGACACGGCCTCAGCATGGCCGGAGGAGCAGTGCGTCGGTGTGCACCCGGGATCTGAACCGGGCCACCGGCAGCAGAGCACACGCACTTAACCACTAAGCCACGGGGCCGGCCCAATGCTGGTCTAATTCTATTCCATAGTATTTAGAAACCTTTATGTGTAGATTATGGGCTGGCTCTCTGCCTTCAACCATATGTCAAAGTCCAAAACCATATGTCAGAGTTCAAAGTCAAAATCATCAGAAAATAGTTTACTGCAAGTCTCAGGTGTTTTACCTGTAAAACCTGGCAGTATCACCTGCCTCGAGGGCTGTACAGATTCAGTGTTTTTTTTTTTTTTAAAGATTTTATTTATTTTATTTTTTCCCCCCAAAGCCCCAGTAGATAGTTGTATGTCATAGCTGAACATCCTTCTAGTTGCTGTATGTGGGACTCGGCCTCAGGATGGACGGAGAAGTGGTACCTCGATGCGCACCCGGGATCCGAACCCAGGCCACCAGCATTGCAGCGCGCGCACTTAACCACCAAGCCACAGGGCCAGCCCCAGATTCAGTGTTGAGCAACACAGTACTGGTGTGTGTAGGCGGTGCACAGCGGCTGTCACTGTCAGGATTAGTCGGCTCTGTGTTCAGGTTGTGGGATGCATTTCTGCCTTCTTGTTAGACCTCACAGAAATCTAATCTCCCAAGCCTCGTATCCCACAAACACAGGGGATCTCTACCAAATGGGCACTTAGCCTCCACTTGGATGTCTCGGCACAGATGTACCCCCATCCTGGGGAAGCTCGGCCCCCATTGGGCCTCCCTACCCACCATGTCCCCCCTCCCCAGCCTTCCTGTTCCCAGAGGAGGCAGAGGTCCCTGGGATCTGTGTCCTCACTAGACCAGGGAGGCTCCTGGCCCCTGTGTCCACCAGGGTCTCTGGACTCAGCAGCAGCAGGTGGGTGGCAGTGACTGAGTAGAATCAAGTGGATCTGATTGCCTGCTCCTGGCTGCACAGAGCACCCCTGCCAAGCACTTGGGTTCTTGCAGAGTCTCAGGCCAGCTCGGGCCAGGACGGCCTAGTGTGGCACAGTAAGGGGCAGGCCGGGCTGGCTCCTTCTCCTTCTTCCCACCTCACCTCCTCACCGACTCCCCTGCCTTTGCCTTTCTCTCCAGGAAAAGTGGAAGCTCAGCACGTGCTGGCCAGTGCACCGACTGACAGGAACCTCTGCCGCTTCCTGGTGAGCTAAGGCCCAGGTCTTCTGAGTTGAGGCTTCCTCCAGGGGCCCAGCGTGGCTCTTGGCTCCTGTTCCTCTGAGACACTTCTTGGGGCCAGGGAAGTGTATTTAGCTAAAGTTTTGAGACTGGCTGGGCTGTGCTGGAGAAGAGGAGGTCAAAGGCCAGAAGGAAAGTCAAGGTTGTGGAGGGCCAGGATGGAATAAAGGGGTGTGTGTGTGAGTGTGCGTGAGCGAGTGCACACAAGTGTGTACGTGCATGTGCATGTGTGCGTGTATGTGCACTTTGGTGCATGCGTGTGTTTGTGTGTGTGTGTGTTGGGGTGGGCAGGGATGGTCACGGGCTCTCACTGGGGTCTGAGGCTCACAGAGGTGCTGACATCAGGGCTCTGAGGTGCATGGTTGGGTTCTGAGCAGGAACGGATGGTCTGGGTGAGTCTTGGGCATTGGGAGGGGGGTGGTATGGTTATTTGCAATGGGAGGGACCCATGGGGACCCATGGGAATGCAGGGCAGCCTCCAGCAGGAAGGGCAATGATCTGGGAGGACGCCCCACTTACCCCCAGTCCTGGTCCTGGTGTTCCTGGTGCAGGCTCTGGGCTGCCAGACCACCCATTCTAACCAGGAGGTGCTACAGAGCTGCTCGCTCATCTTCTTTGCCACCAAGCCCCACATCCTGCCAGCTGTCCTGGCAGAGGTGGCCCCTGTGGTCACCACTGAGCACATCTTGGTGTCCATGGCTGCCGGGGTCTCTCTGAGCACCCTGGAGGAGGTGAGTGGCCCATGGAGGTGAGGTGGGAGCTGAGGCTCTGACCTCAGAGTAGGCTCTGATGGCCAGACTCAGCTTCCCAACCCTCGCCGTCCCAGACTGGCCCCAGCCTGGGCTCAGCCCTTCAGGATACCAGGTTGGGTGGGACAGGTGGCAGACAGCCTCCCAACCAGCCTGCGGAGGTGGCCAGGTAGCCAAGGGGGCTGGAGTTACGGTTCCTCGTGGTGCCACGCCTGGGAAACAGGGAAGGGAGCCTGCAGCTGGCTGAGGTGTGTGCCTGCCTGGCAGGGCCTATACCACAGGCTCCTTGACTCCAGCCTCTCCCTGGCCAGCTGCTGCCCCCGACTGCACGGGTACTGCGGGTCTCGCCCAACCTGCCCTGTGTGGTCCAGGAGGGGGCCATGGTGATGGCACGGGGCCGCCATGCTGGGAGCAGCGAGGTCAAGCTCCTGCAGACCCTGCTGGAGGCCTGCGGGCAGTGCGAGGAGGTGCCTGAGGCCCACGTGGACATCCACACCGGCCTCAGTGGCAGCGGCGTGGCCTTTGTGAGTGTTGTCTCATCCCCCACCCTGCCCCCACAGGCCAGCCCTCAGCAAAGCGGGGCCTTTCCAAGTCCCTGCAACAGCCCCTGCCCTCGGGACCTGATGGCTCGGTCCTGGGGCTGCCCGTGAGCTCTGCTCTCCCCGCATCACTGTCTCCTGGCGTTTGAGGCCCGGGAGTGCTCCAGTCAGACCTCTGGGCTCAGGCCTCCACCCCAGACCCTGCGCTGGTGGCTGGTGTTCTGGGCCTTGTTCTTGAAGATTCCAAGCCTTCTCCAGGCTGGGTGCTGTGTCCGGGGGGAATATGTTGGCTCTGATACCCCCCACACCCCCTCCTACAGGTATGCACCTTCTCCGAGGCCCTGGCTGAAGGTGCCATCAAGATGGGCATGCCCAGTGGCCTGGCCCACCGCATTGCTGCCCAGACTCTGCTGGTGAGTGCAGGCGGCCCCAGGGGAGTGTGTGAAAGGGGATGGGCCCGTGCGCCTCCCAGGAGCCGTGGGAAGGGAGACAGCAGGCCTGAGAAGCCTGAGATCTGGGGCATGCATGGCGAAGCAGGCTACACAGTGGGGGCTGAGCTGGAGAAGGGGCTGCCCACCTCCTGAGTCACCAGCCTCCAACACCACTCTCCCCAGGGGACGGCCAAGATGCTGCTGCAGGAGGGGCAGCACCCAGCACAGCTGCGGACGAACGTGTGCACGCCGGGCGGCACCACCATCTACGGGCTCCACGCCCTGGAGCAGGGGGGGCTGCGGGCAGCCACCATGAGTGCCGTGGAGGCCGCCACCTGCCGGGCCAAGGAGCTCAGCAGGAAGTAAGGCATAGGTGCTGGATGCGGACCACAGCCCCCGAGTGCCGAGAACAGCCCTGCCACCCCCAGTCCCTCCCTCCCTAGCCCCTTCCCGAGGACTGTGGTTCTCTCCAACCTGCAGGAGCCTCCCGGGCTGCTCCCCTTTCCCCCACATGGGGAAATGGGAGGAGACCCCCTCACCAGGGGGGACTCCCCCCCACTGCTGTGGGACAGAAGGCACCGTGGTGATGGCCCACTGTAAGGGGTGACCTGGTTTCTGAGGTCCTGAGCCTGGCACTGCTGGTCAGGTGCACAGTGTGGTCGGCCAGTTGGTTGAGGGAGGAGCTGAGCCACTGGCAACAAAAGCAGCCGGGGCAGCCCTTCCTACAGCTGTGTGACTGCAGCCAGACCCACTCCCTCATCTCAGCTCGGTGGCGCGGGGACATACAGAGTGAAGCCAGCGGTATTATGCCACCACGTCTGTCCTGGCCCTGCCAGCCCTTGAGAAAGCGGCTGAGGAGCACACACAGCAGAGGGCCGGGGGTCCTCTGCAGTGTTGCATCAGCAGCAGGCGGGGGGAGTTGCTGCTCCAGGTCTGGGAGTATGGGCCCTGGCCAGCGGGGGAACACAGGCCTGGCTTCAGCTGGGTGTGGGCCCCTCCCCCAGGCCCTAGGCTCCTGGCGAGTGGCAGGTGGAGCTGGCCCTTGCCCCTTCCCTGGGTCAAGAGTCCTGGAGGGTCCCGTGGCCTGGCCTCTGACTGCAGAACTCGGCTCTTCACATGTCCGTGAACAGACCAACAGGCGAGGAAAGCCGGGAACTTGGGGCCCAAAGCAAGACCTTGGGGCCTTTGGGTCTGAGGCAGGCTGCCTGCAGCTGTGTCCCCTGCACCGCCCCCAAGGCTCACTGGGGCCTCCCCACCCCACGCAGGCCCCGGAGTGCTGGAGCCCCTCGCTTCCACCAGTGGCTCTTGAGACCGCCAGCCACGTGGTGGACAGAGGCTTGGGGCCATTCTCGCCCTGCCACCTCCCAGCTGTGAGACTGGAGGCAGATGAATCTCCCGTCTGTAAGACGGCGAGCACGCTGTGCCGCAGTGCTGTTCCTCGCTCACCACCACGCCCTCTCCACCCCACCCGCTGCCTGCCCACTCCCTCCCTGCCAACCTGCAGTCCCATAGGCCGTCCTCTCCCCACCCAGCCAGTCCCAAGGTCAGCCCCTTCCCTGGGCCTCCCGCTCCCAGCCTCCTCCTGCCTTGTCTAGGCAGGCTTGGCGGGCTGGCCTGCCCTCCACCGGCGATGGCTTGGTCTGACTCTGGCCTCTCCACTTGTTGAAGTTAGCCTGAGTCCATTTCCACATCCAGGTTCTTTATTTGTGAGACGGGAATAAAGATGCTGTCCTATAGCAGAGTGCCCAGTATTTAATTGGCTGATAAAACCAAATTCCAAGTGCCTGGAAGTGCGTCTCAGCCAAGGCCTGAGACGTTGGGCTCAGACAGACCTCGGAGCTGGTGGGGTGCAGGTGGTGTGGGGGGCAGAGGGCTGTACGTCACCGTCACCTGAGAGCTCTGCAGGGGCAGGATCGCTGGCTTCTCCTGTGCCCGACCTTACCTTCAGCTGGACGTTAGGGGTCCCAGCCATGCATCTTCCAACAGAATCCCTGGGGACTGGGGTGGGCTCGGAGTCTGCCCAGCCCTGCCCCAAGCAGGCCACTCCCTGAATGGGAGGCACCTGGGTGAGCCCCTGGCCCTGCTGGAGGGGCAGCTGTGCCCCAGCTGGTGATGGCCTGTGACAAGACTTCTTGATTCAAGAGGGCCCACCCAGCCCAAGGAGGGTAGCTGTGGGGGGGCGGGGTCACAGCCCAGTCATCGGCCAGCCAAGTTTCTTCGTCTTATACCACAACACTGAAATTACTTTTTCAAGAAACTGGTGGATATGATAATGGTTTCTTATGTCATCAATGTCCCGTTTTTATACTCTCCACCTTTTCAAGTTCTGAGGTGTTCTAGATCCGAGCACTGGATCAAGAGTTACAAAAGAAGACTTTAGAACAGGGATGCATATGAAGTTGACATGTTCAACCTTTATTATAAAGCGCATCGGGCCATCTGACCAGGTGAACTCCACCGTCAGCGAGGTCAGGTGGGAAAGGGCCCCTCCACAGAGCATGCACCCCACAAGCCCACAGTCCCCAAAGACATGCCACTGGAGCCACGCTGCACCCGTGGGCACCCCCAGGCTGGGAACAAACGGCTCCGCACAGCATTCCCACCTGCACTCTGCCGGACTGGGGGCCCTCGAGGATGGCCCCAAGCTTGAGGGCACTGCCCTTCCTCACAGCACGCTCTGGTGTTTCCCCCACAGCCCAACTGACGTGGGAGAGGGTCACTTCCCAAGCATGCAGCCCCTCGGCCGGGCCGTGTTTCTCAGACGGGCTCCCTCTGACTGCCGCAGCCTGGTCTCCCCCTCCCAAACATGCAGACGGGGTGGTTTGAGCAGAAGCCTGCACCTAGCTCATCCTTCCATCGTCAATGCCTTCCCTTTTCTGGCCCACTACCAAGCATACTGGGTGAGCTCTAACAATGACCCTAAGGACCACTTTTTGGAAGAACAATGACCTTCACCACCTTGAGTATTCATCAAAGGGCTGTGAACAGGAGGGGGAGAGGCCGGCGGCTGTGTCCCTGATACCTCCCAGGCTGCGGCAGTCCCCACTCCTTTAAGGGTGTGCCCTCGACGGCAAGAAACCCAGTTTCAGTGCCTGGCACTTGGCAGGCAGGCAGACAACAGCTGCTGAAGGAATTCCAGCAGCATCGACTAACAGCCCTCCCCCAGTGCCATCCACCCCTCACTCTCCTGTTATCACAAACCAGGGGGCATGATCCAATGCCCCAGGCCCAGAGGATAACAGCAGGGAGGGGCAGGCCACCCTGCTGGGGACCGCTTCAGCCCTTCTCCTGCAGAGACAGACTCTAGGGTCTCTCTCGGGAAGCCTCTGGCCAGGCTGCCCCATGATTTCACACTGAGCTGAGCCCAGGGAAGTGGATGACTGTGAGATGGGATGGGGCCCTGGGTTCCCGCCTGCTGTCTATTTAATGCCGCAGACCCTGGAGATCATGAGGATTCAGTCCTTGCTGGGGATCCCCTCAGGGCCAGGCACCCTGGCAGAGCAGCCTTTTCCACATGTCAGGGGCCTGCAGCCTCCCCCCGCAGCACGCACAGGACACCAGCACCTCTGTTCTGTTCTAGGCAAGAGACACTGTTAGAGGCCCAGCAGCTCCAGACCCACTTGACAGGCACTCTAGCTCCTCAAGGCCCCAGGCCTCATTTATACAGTGCCCATCCAGGTGTGCAGCCTCCATTCCCCAGAGGGGAGGGGGCTGGTACGACGTGAAATAGCTTGGAGAGAGGCAGGTAAGAGGTCCTGTTCTTGACATCAGTCTCAATACCAACTCCAGCCTCCCCTGCCCGGGCCCATAGAGGGGTAGACCGGGAAGGAGGACTCGAGATGCAAGCCTTGCCAAGAGGGGGCAGTGCTGTTGAAGGCTGAAGGGCCTTCAACCAGAGGCCGCCCTGGGCTGTGTGTCAAGCACCGGCCACACCCTCACTTGGAGCCCACCCGGGCCCTGAAGTCTGCCTTACCACACACCCCCTCAGGCAGGCCTGGCAGAGTGGACGCCTAGCAGGCTGGCCATCAACACCAGGAGCTCCCAGCCCTGGGTCCCCTGGTCGCCATCAGCTGGACATCCTGAAGTCCATGCCAGCTGCTTGGGTTAGAGACCCAGGGCCAGCCTGAGAACCAAAGGCTCATCTAGGTGTCCAGGCTCAAGAAGGCTGGAAGTGGAGGTGCCAGATGGGCCCCAGCAGGCACGGCTGGAGGTTGCTGCCCCGCACCTGGCTAGCCAAGCCTGGCTCATCTTGCTCCCAAATTTTCCACACCTTCTCTCAGCTTTCAGATTTGAGATATATATATATATACGTATATATTTTTTGACTGGGACCACTTTTAACGAAGAGTTTATGTTCTTGGACTCATGTGGAAATTGCCCTGGGGGCTCACTCCAGCTGCCCCATCGCAGTGCACGGCCATCCCTCCCATAAATATACCGCCTTCTGCAGCCTCTGCAGTCTCAGACCACTAGGAGGACATGGGGTAGGTGCAAATGAGGGAGAGCCGAGAGGCAGGCAGGGCCCAAACCCGGCCCCCTGCCCCTCATAACAGCTCTGGGCAGCATCTCTGCAAAGGCAGCCCCCCAGGAGGCATGGGCATTTCTTGGCCTCAGACCACCAAAGGGATTCTGAATCTAGAGCTGGACAGTAACACATGAGCCCTCTCCTCCCTCTTTCAAACTGTGCCACCCAGAAGCCCAACTCCTCGGACCACAGGAAGCAGCTCCTCAGCCACACCCTTGGCAGTGCCAGAAGAGGTAAGGAAGCCTGGGGCGCAGGCCGGGGCGGGAGGAGCCCTAGAGGGGTGCTAAGGCACTGCAGGATTGTCCCAGCACGGCTGTCAGTGCTGCAGACCTGCTCTCGGATAGATGGGATGGCTCTAGGCCCTGGGGCTGGACAAAGCGGGCTCTGGCTGGTGGGGGAGTCAAGGGAGCTTGTCCAGTTGTTGGTCAAGTCACCAGGGCCCAAGTCCAGCTGCTCACCAACCCCACAGAATAAGAGAACTGTTCAGATGGAATTTTCTTAAGGAAAATTAAAAATCTGGGTGGAATAAAAGTCTACACTCCCTGCCACATCCAGAACCTCAGGAGGCCCCAAGGGCTGGGCGCCGTCCTCTCTTCCCAGCCCACAGAGCCAGCCTCCAAGACCGGCCCCAGGCTGGGGACTGAGACACCACCTGGACCCCTATGAAGAGTATCTGTAAAAACAGTTTAATGCGCTAAAAACAAAACCGAGTGGTGTGCTTCCTCGCTAAGATGATCTCAGGGCTGTGGTTCAGGAACCATGTGGCACTAGGGCTCCGGACAGATGGGGGTGCCGGGCCCTTGTCCAGTGCAAGTCATGGGCCACTAGGAGAAGGGCAGGAGGTGCGGACAGGCTCGGGGCTGGAAGCCTCAGCCCCACAGGGGCCGGGGCGGGCACACAGCCAACTGCTCTCTGATAAGTGCTGTGGTGTGTGTGCCAGGCATGCGTGGGGGGAACCATGTGAAGACCGCAGACCCAGCGCATGTGCTTGCCCAGAGAAGAGGAGCGTGAGCCTGGGCGGCTTTTCTAGCCCCCCCAGGAGACAGGACCAGTGGAGCGGGATGACCTTTCACCAACAGAGCCCCTCCAAGACAGGCTGGGCTTTGACCCAGGACCCCGAGCCACGGTGTGGGTCACCCCAGGAGAGGGGAGGAGGGGAGATGGGGAGACCATGTGTGTCCCCTCCCTCCAAGTGCAGCAGAAGAAAGGCCACTGGGGGGGCCCCTCGGGCAGGCTTGGTCACACCCCATCATCAGGGACTGCCAGCGAGGGCCCAATGCCCCCCAGCCTCCGGGCCATGCTGATGAGTGAGCGCAGCTGAACCAGCTTCAGTGGCCCCACCTCCCGGGGGTCCTGGTTCTCCAGCCACCGCAGAGCCGTCTCCAGACCCCGAACAGCCTCCCCAGCGGTGGGCACGGTGGCCTCCTCCTCCTCTCCACCCCCCAAGACAAACGGTAGGCTGGCTGGAGGTGGAGGGGCCACAGGGGCCAGCGCAGGGGGCCGGCCGGGGCCTGCCTCCTCTCTGCCGCTGTCGGGCAGCCCCCCATCATCGTCCAGGTGCAGCCACTCAGCCACCTCCTCGGGTGCCAGGCGCTTATAGGCCAGGGCTGCCAGGTGCGTGAGGTCACTGAGCACCCTGCTGTGCTCAGCAGCCTCCTCGGCCTGGCTGGCCAGCTGCCCAGCACACTCCTCTGCTGGCCGGGGCTCAAAAGCCGCCCGCAAGCCCAGCAGCCAGCAGCGCTCGATACTGCCCGCCTGCACTAGGTCCCAGGAGAGGCCGGCCAGATAGAGCATGTCTTTGAGCATGAAGCTGCGCATGAAGTCCAGCGGGGAGCCCCCCGCACAGGACACGGCCAGCCGCAGCAGCTCCCGCTTGTACAGCTGCTTGAAGGTGGCCACCACCCCCTGCTCCAGCGGGGCAGGGATGTGCGCCCGGCTGCTGCCCTTGGACAGGAACAGCACCCGAACGGCCCCGTCGGGGGTCTGCAGCTCCTCCGGGGGGCCGAGGGACTCAGGCCGACACCGCCTGGGGGTCTCCTCACTCTCCTCTAGGGTGGGTATCCTGGCCGCAGGGCTCGGGCAGGGCGGGTGGGCGACCAGCAGCACGGCCTTCTGCTGCAAGCAGCTGCGGCGCAGGTAGCGCCTGACGCCCGGGACGAACTCCTCAAAAAACCAGCCCCGCAGCAGCGGGCGACTCAGCCAGGCGTCGGGGCTGTAGCGGTAGGAGGCCGGGAATTTGTCCTGGTTGTGGTGGCGCAGGCTGGGCGGGTCTGGCAGCTGCCCGATGACCAGCGGCTTCAGCTTGTGGCTGCCGGTCAGGTTAGCGGCCAGCAGCACCGTCACCCGGTCGCCCCGCCAGCGCCGGCCGCAGCCCCCCGTGCCCAGGGGCGCGGCCTGCTCCGGAAGCAGCTTCCAGTAGAGACCGGTGACGTTGGCGTTGTAGATCTGCTCGTCGCCGTAGCCGCCCTCGGCGGGGGGCGGCTGGGCCGGGGCGCGGTCCTGCAAGGGGCCGGCGCCGGGGGGCTGCGCGGGCTCCTGCTTGACTGGCGGGCCGGGCGCGGGGCCCGCGGCCGGGGGCTCGGCCTCGCCGTAGATGCGTTGGCTGGAAATGCCGTGGCGTTTCTGCCAGCGCCAGAACCAGCCGTGGCTGGCCTTGAAGGTGCACTCGGGCCCGTAGATCTGGCGCGCGAAGGCCTCGGCCTGCGCCTGGATAAGCGGCCCCGACAGCGGCACGCCGTGCTGGCGCAGCGCCAGGAACCACGAGTAGACGGCGCGGTCTATCTCCTCCTCGTTGGCCAGCCGCATCTTCTTGCGCTGCGTGCCCACCTCGCCGCCCAACTGCTCCAAGAACCAGCGCAGCTTGGGCTCGTCCTTGAGCCAGCCGCGCAGCGTGCCGCCGGGCACGCCGAAGTCGCGGCACACGCTGGCCTGCCGCTCGCCGCCCTTGACGCGCTCGATGGCCTGCAGCTTGTCCTTGATGGAGTAGGCCTTACGGAAAGCCATCTTCACAGCCACGCGGGGCCGCGGCACGGGCGCGGGGGG